AAATTTGCGTATTAGTAAATATATTATCACCTCATAGGAATACTCTTTAAACTATCACAAAATGCACCTCCTAAAATGTAAAATACCGTTATTTCAAAAAATAAATTTTAATTATGGATCTACTCACATATTTGTTACACATTTTAAAAGATTACAATTTGATTAGTTTAGTTTCATCTCTACCCCCACCTTTTTTTCATTTAGTTTTTTGTTATAAAATACAAGGCTTCACAGCATCAAATAAGTTATATGGTATTTACTGTAGGGATTAACTTTTAAATGAAAATGTGTGCTTGTTAACATGGTCCTGACCATCTACAGGAGATTTGGGCTGTGTCTATATGATATGTAAAGAATCATTTCAGTGGGAAATAATTAAATTAGGCAAATGATTTCACATAAATAAAAGTGTTTTGACCAAGCTTTTCACTTTGTAACAGGTTTCTTTGGTATCATTGAAAACATTAGGTTTTATTTAGAAATCATCAAGGAAAAATTAGACATTTCCCTGAGATAACGTGGATAGCTATTCAGATAACTCATTTTCAATAAAGAGCAATTTTTGGCCTTAATTATTTGGATTGGTCATCTACATTGATCAAATTTGTTAGTGACATTTCTACTTTATTCAATATTATTCTGGATTACGTGTATCAAGACATTCTGTATTCTTGGGCAAAACAAAAACAGTCAGCCCCAAAGCAATTAAAAATACGGTCAATCATCAGCAAAGTGAGTAAATGATAAGCACTGTAAAGCTGTGCTCTCCAGCTGGCTTTTTTGCACTGTCTCCACTGTGACAGTACACGAGTCCTATGTGAAACATTTGGGGTTTATGTTCCATTGAGAGAATAGATTCTTCCAGGAGTAAAGGGTGCACTAGCGTGATGCCATTGAGAGACGTAAACCACCGTAAAATGTGTTCATGAATTGCCATTATAAGGTGGAAGAGCAGCTATTTAAAATAGCAGCAGATTTATTTCTTTGAACCCTAGGAAACAAAATACACTGGACCGCTTCAACCCATTCTCAGGCTCCGTTCTCCCATTCAGTCCATCCGAGGAGAGCATGGAAAATGCAAACAGCATTTCTCCTGAGGATGTTAGTCAGACAGGAAGATCAACCGAGGAGACACTGGCTGAGCACCAAAACAGGTGCTGCCAGAAGCAGCTGAGCTATGAGGCACTCAGTCTAGGTAACGGGGCAGGGAACACAGGTGGGTGCGGAAGAAAAACTGCCCTCCTGGGCTTGCAAATACTCCCTAACAGGTGTCAGAAGCGTGCCTCAAAGCAGGATTTCTCAGGCAAACAGACACTTGGCCTAACTATATAAATATGCATCTTGAAGTGATGCATGAGGAGGCTGAATGAACACCCTTGGTGTTTATGAATATAAACACTTACTGACGCCCCCCTCAATTTTTATGATTGCTTAGGTCACAGTTTACACATTTCAGTGCAAGTCAGAAGACCATGTTCTGTCTGAGGCTGATGAGTTCCAAAACAGTGGTATCTTGGAATGTCAGAGAACAGCAAAGGGTTCTGACTATCCTTGGGAGCCAGAGAGAAGGCAGGACTTCTACAGGAAGGGGGGACAATGAAAAAAAAAAAAGAGAGGAACAAAATTTGCCCACTTCATAATCCTGCCCAGGGCTCACCCTGGTCTCCAAGTTTTGTAGCTGTCACACCAAAAATATCATATAACCATGAATCCCCCAAGCCACAGCTCAGTTGATCCATCATCTCTACCTCTGTTGGACTGTTAATAGACTTTTCATTCTTGAAAGCTAATCAGTGTATTGCGGGAGCAGTATTTATGTAAATTTTGTGTTGTTCAAGCCCCCATATCATCCTTCTCTGAAACAGTAGTCTATAGCCAGGGGTATAAGTGTTTTTAATTGATAAAATAGTGATGTCTTTACTTCTTCAACTCTTTCAAATCCATTTTCTTTTATACTTTTGTCATTCAAATCTTTTAAATATTCCAAAATTATTAATCCTTCATTCCCCCAAACTAGGACCAGCTCACAGATGACAGCAATCATTCTGATTTGACCTATAACCCATATACACTCCATACATCACTATGTTAATAAAGCACACACACACACACACACCCCTAGTTTCTCTGTAACATAGTGAACATTCTGATTTGACCTATGGCCACTCTCATTTTCACTATAACCTATTTTAAAACTCAAGAAGTTATAAGAGCAAAATAGTAAATATGAGTAAATTATTTTCCTTGGTAAAGATAGGCTAAATTAGTAGGAACCACAAATACGTGTGCATAGTCCTATTAAAAATATTTTTTTTACTAAATGGAATTTTTCTGACACAAACAGCTAGTGATTGTTGAGTCACTGGAGTTGTAATGTATTTCTGAAACACATGTTATAATCATCAAGCCTAAATACATCTCTAATTAAAACAAATGCTGCCAAGAGTATGCAGATCAAAAGGAAAGTGCTCTTGATAACACTGCTGCTCAATTCAGGCCTCCAACCCTTGTGTAGAAATCTCCCAGAAATACGGCAAAGCCATTAGACTCTGCTACATGCTAACGCTTCTAGTTTAACTCCAACAGCATGTGTAAAATCCTAGATTATAAATCACCGTTGTGATCTATGCCCAGGAATCCATCTAGTTGAATTGTTTATGAGAAGGATTGGAGGAAGGTGTACAAAGCAGCATCTTTAGGGCTGACCGATCACAAAATATAAATATTTCCAAAACCATGAGTGACAGTGCTCAGCACTTCTCCATTCAACGTGTGTAAAACTATGGAGGATTATTATATTCTTTTAAAATGAAACCCACAGAGATGCCCACCTCTAATTATTATTAGGCTTAATAAAGACTTATGAAAAGCACTTTGAAAAATCAGAAGTGCTTTAAAAATATAAGATGTTATTATTATTATTTTCCTTTAAATATTGCAAGCCTAGCTCTGTTGCCTATTTTAATATACCTTTGCCTTTGGTTTCCCATATACCTCCCTGAATTTCAGTGTTAATTTCTTCTTAAAAATTTTAACTATGTCATAGCTATTTGATTCCATTGTCATTTTTATTATTCCATTATATTGACAGGTCAGTCTATTTATTTCTTCTAGTGGATCCTGTATGGAATTATGAAGATTGAGATCACTCAGGATAGCCTCTGCAGAACTCACACCTGGTTTCTTTACCATTAAATTCCAATAAGCTTATCAAAAAGTAATGATAACAAAAGTCTATTGATTTCTTAAATTTGTTTTCCATGCAGCAAAATTTGGAAAGTTCTAGCTTTCACTTGAAATTTGATCCTCTTTTTCTTCTTTTATGTTTTTTTCCCTTCTTCTCTCCCTCTTCCTGTAACTTCTTAATACCCTTTTATTCTTCCCTTTCCCCCACCTCCTTTCTCTGCTTCTCTTTGACTTATTCTCTCTCTCACAACATTTTTCCTCTCCTCTCTTCTTTGGTTAGCTGCTGAACTTTCCTATATACACCTGCACAAATGCTATCCCAGAGTGCTCTCTGTGAGAACTTTTACAACATAAAAAAATTCCCATTTAGTGTTTATGTGAGTACAGTGCATGTGCAGGTGAAGGGCAAAATAATGTATTACTTTGGCCATTGAGATACTGTGGAGGTCAAAGACAGATGAAATCTGGAACACAAGGACAGGTGAAGTAATTTTAACATGGAACAGAAACTAAGTAGGTAAAAAGAAAAGGAGTGTATCTTGTACTTTCTTTGTGATAATTTATAACACTAAAAATAATAAAGTGTTTCACCTACAGATCATTCAGTGCATATATATATACACATATACATATATAGACATATATACACATATACATATATATATGTATATATATATATACCATCTCAACAACTAGATGTAAACTAATGGAGGACAGGTTCCATGTATTAAATTCCTTTATACCCTTCAAAAGATAGCACAGCTCTTCATACACACCAGACACTTAAAAGAGGATTGAATGAAATACAGAAATCATTATGAAATTGGTGACTACCCCCAAAAACATTGACTGAAATTGTTTGTTACTGCTAAGGAGTTTAAAACACTCAAATGAATATGAATACACACAGGGACATGCAGACATAAAACACCCCCGGAAAAACGAAAGAAAGAAAATAAATGGAAACATGAAACTGGAGATATATACAAATACACAAGAGAACATTCTATGAAAACCCATACTAGAGAAAAATTAATTAACTAATTTGCGATCTTAGGCAGAAGGTCATTTAAAAATAATCAAAAATATCTTCATTATTTTTCAGTACCTTAAGTTTCCAGGAATTTATTATAGTGAATTTGGCAAATTGTGAGTAGCTGTGCAATTAATGTTTATAGTGACATACTGACTTACTTGAACCTGGATAAGTCATGTTATCTGCCCTGTGCTTCTGTGTCTCTGAAGTGACAGTACTAGTTGCCTTCTCATCCTCTTCCTCTGCAAAGATGTTCTGCAAATAAATGAGGTAATGTTTGGGAGATGTTCGCAGCTTGGGAAAGAAACCCACTGCACACATCTCAGATGGTATTACTATTCCATATTCAAACCTGGCATATTATTGCCTCTGTTTTAAATTGAAATTGTACTGTTTGAGTCTTGGGTTCTGACCAAAATCTGGGTCGACATAAGAGGACGATTATTTTTAATTTTAATTCTGAGGCTCTGTTCAGCTCCCTTGCACGTGTGAGGGCCAACTGTAGGAAATAAACAAAGCACATAAATCAAGCTGTGAAAGAGGAAAATCTTTCTCCAGAAGGATTTTTCTTTTTCCTTTTTTTTTTTTTTTTTTCAATGAAGAGCGTGAACACCGTATTTCCCTTCAAGAATATTTCGGTCCAGGAAGGAGGATAGTGCATGCCGTGGGAGCGTATGTGTGCGTGTGTGTGCATGTGTGTGTATGTGTGTGTGCTGTGCGTGCGCGCCCGCGGAGAGAGGGGCGGGGGAGGCGGATGAGGAGGATGAGATCATAGTTTCAGGATCCTCAGGAAACCCTGGTACTGGCAGCAGCCAGCCTCTGCTGTGCCCACATGACCCACAACTCTGGCAGCGGACCGGGCACTTCCAACATTATTAAATAATAAGAAAGCGGCTCCTACTCCATGCCCAAACCTCCCCACAGGCCGGTGGACACCTTCTAAGAGTTTGACGAGTCGGTGACTGAGGCGCCCGTCCATTCCAAGGTGTGTGCGAGGCGTTTTCTTCCCTGACAGCTCCGGAGTGGGGGAGGGCGCGGGGGTGGAGGGGGGTCCGTGTGGCGGGCGAGGGTGGGCGCGGGGCCCGGCTGCCGCGCGCTGACCCCGGCCGCCCGGTGCCGCGGAGCCAGCCGCCGGGCGGGAGATGCCGGTTACGCGCAGCCCTAGCTGCGCAGGGACCGCAGCAGCCCACGGCGCCGGGGCGCGGGCTGGGGAGGCTCGGCCGCCGGAGCAAGGGCAGGCGCCACGCACCCGGCAAAGTCAAGAGTGGAAGCGGGCGGCGAGCGCGGCGAAGGGAAGGAATCGCCCCAACGCCCACTCGCGGGGGTTCCCACCTGTGCGCGGGCGCCGGCCGCCGGGAGCGCGAAGCATGTGCCGGACGCCGCAGCCGGGACTGCGGCGCGGCGCCTCCCCGGGCGGCGGCGGGCGGCGCCTCGGGCCCGCGGGGCGGCGGGAGCGGCTGCGGCAGGATGGCCGGCCCGGGGGCGCGGGGCCGCGCAGGTAAATGTCGGCCTCCCGCCGAGGCCGGGCCGCGCCGCAGCCCCCGCCGCCACTGCCGTCGCTGCTGCACAGCTCCCGGGAGGGCGAGGGCAGCCGGCTCGCTCGCGCCGCGGGTTGAGTTGTTTTTGTGGTCACGGTTGCTCGCTCGGTGGTCCCCGCGGGCTGAGCTGCTGGGAGGTGGCGTGGCCACCTCCATTGGGGATGACACTCACGTGGGGAGAGTTCTGGGGGGCTACTGTTGACCGGGAAATCCGCGGTGGGATCCTCTCCCGCCGGCGGCGTCTGCGCGTGTTGCAATGCACTGCGGTGCCGGGGCGGCGGGCCGGGCGGGAGGGGGCGCCCTGTGGGGGGGGCGGGGGGGCGGTCGGCGCGGACGGTGAGTGTCTCCGGCTTTTATAGCCTGTTGCCCACTCTGGAGTTTTCCTCTGAACAGAGGGCGGAAGCGAGGTCCGTTCTGGTACCGGAGTGGGAGGTGGCGAGGTGTCTATCAGAAGACCAAAGCCAAGGAGAGAAGAGGGATGGCGGGGCTGGGCTCAGGGGTACCATGCCCGGGACTTGGTAGTAAAACTTTCCTCTGGCGAGATTGGGGTATGGTTTTGAGAAGGTAAGTGTAGAACTTGAGTCGGGGTGAGGGATATTGGATGTACTCTGGCAGTGAAGTTCACCGCCATTAGGTTCATTGTTGCTCTAAAAAAGGGTCTTTTGAGTTGATGTTTCTGTTCAAGTTTATCTGTTATGATCGCTTGGTGTTTGTGTCTTGTGTTTCAAACATATCAGTAACCTACATTGTTGACGTATGCCTAATTATTAATTTCTTTTACAAAAAGGACTTATTTTGCTTATTCCAAAGGTAGAAACTTTAGGGAAAAAACAGCCCTCCAGGCACAGTTCTATGAACTTTAGCTTTAGTCACTCACTTAATTCTAACACCACCATAAAGGGTAGGTAATAATACTGTTCACCTTTTACAGATGAGGAAATCCAGACACAGAGAGGTGAAGTAATTTACCCAAGGTCGTACAGTTTTAAATATTAGAGCCTAGTTGAGCTTTTGATGTACTCTAAACCAACATATTTTTTTTTCATAAAAATAAGACCTAAAATCTTCTATATTTGATATATTGACCACGTCTCTACCAAGATGAACCTCTTAACTGTGTGCTACACCTTTGGGACAATTAACACTTTTTCTAATACTATAATTTCTAATACTATAATTACGGCAAGTATCCTTTGAGTCATTTCCTTTTGCCACAATTGACCGTTTCCTACAACAATTATAGATTAAAGTAGTATTTATCAGCAAAGTTAAGATTTTCAGCAGTTAAGATTTATCAGCAAAGTAAATTATAAAGCAGGCAGCTGAATCTCTAAATTTGCACTTAATTTTAAACTTCATAAGGTATTAGTCTGTTCTTTGCTCAAAGCAGGGCCATCATTTTCTTCCAAACACCATCTTGCAGAAATTTTGAGCGAGTTTAATCATCTTTAATTCAATCACACTGACAAGAGCTTAGGCAGTTTTAAAAGAAGAATTATGCAATTCTCTTTCAACTCTCAGTGATTAAAAGCAGGCGATATTGCGAGTGTTTGTATATGTCATGCCTTTTCACCAATTGTATGTACTTTAGGCAAAGTTGTGTAGCAATGAAGACTGAAATCACATTTTCTCATTAGTTCTAAGCTGAAATACTGTAAAAATATCCACTTGTTTTAAATGAACCATGATGTGAAGAAAGGTCTCAATGGGGTAAAGTCCAACTGCACATATTTAGAGAATAACTTCTCATTTGAACTTATCATGGAACTCTTATAATATTCATTTTATTGGACAGATGTCTCTCTTAGGTCTTCATCTGTTGTTTTTTCAAGTAAATTTAATTTCTGCTTCACATAATGTTTCAAAATTATTTTGACATTCATAGATTTCCTTAAGTCTTGTCTTTCAGTTTAATTAAATTCAGTGTACATACTTCAAATCCTCACTTATTCCACATTATATGTGAAAAGAGAATACAATCCAACTGAACTATATGGAAACGTGATCTTTGGACATGAAAATAATTATCTTCAGTGGTTAAACTCTTCCACACGCCATATTAGGGCTCCATCTTTCTTTGGGGGTGTTAGAGCACAGTGCTGTAGTCAGGAAAGTTGCATGCCATCAGGCACAATCGTTTTTGTTATTGAAAGTGAATTTGAATTTTCCAAGTCTATAAAAAACGTTGATGGTTATTAAGGCATAAATCCTATGGCACATACATATATCCTTTCTGAACTGACTCACCTGTTCCAGTTTTCTAGTTTCTCTTACTTATTTTAGAAAAAGCATTCTCTCACTACTTTTATCTCACCTGGGGGATTTGACACGACTTTTTCCTTTCAAGTCCCCTACCTCTAGTTTTGGGAGAGTTGTGCTGTCTCTGTTTCTTGAGAGGCCCTTCGCCTCCAGTGCTGGGCAAAGAACTGGGGATCACTGGTGAGCAGAAAGATGAGTGCGCCCTGCCACAGGGACCAGACTTCAATACAATGATTATACAAATAAATGTTTATTTACAAATTGCCGTGAGTTCTGAAAGAAGGATTTCTGTAAGAATGTGTAATAAAGGATTCTGGGCCAGACATGGAAGTTGGAACAGGATGCCCTAGAAGTCACATATTTACAGAGGCATGATGTGTGAGGAGGTGTTTAAGTCAGGTGGTCTTTTTAAATGCTTTCATCAATGTTTTCTGAATCAGAGACATATCTCGCTCTGGTTATCTCTGCACTTCTCTATTCACCAGCTGATGTACTGTTTCACCTCATCATCCACCTATGGACATGGGGAGGATTACAAAACTTCTATCAATACTTTTTATAGCATGTAGAGCATGTGCTACCCATATCTGGTTATTATCCGATTTTTGAAGTTATTTAAATTTAATGAAATATAGTCATTTTCTTTCTTTACCTTAACAACTACTTTCAAATTTTAAAAAGCAGTTGTGTGTGTGTGTGTGTTTGGTTGTTGTTAAAGTGGCAGAATGTCTCAAAATAGAAACGTAATCGATTCATCACACATCCATAAGACTCCCTGAAATGTCCGTAGGAAGAGAAGAGGCACCAGAGTGAGGTGAATTAAGTGTTGAACACACTGGGGAAATGTGTATTAATAATTGAAAGCAAACAATAATAATAACTAAATTTATTGACTTGCTGTGTGCTGGACATCATTCTACAGCTCTATATAGAGTAACTTAGGTATTCTTCACAAGAGCCAAATGAAGGCTTCCTATATTACCATTATCCCCATTTTATGGAGGAGGAAACTGAGGCACAAGGAGAACAGTAATCATGACCACTGTCACATAGGTAGAGATTCTGATTCGAGTACTGATTCTGTAATCCATACTGTTAACTACAGATGTAGTTAGTACTAGTCATAGTTAGACTAATAACTGTAGTATCTGGTTCATAATTTTACTGACGCATTAAGTTCCCATCATTGTTAAAAATCATAACACCTAATTTGATCTTTTGGTTACTTCTCCCTCAATAAAAACCAGTGGAAAAACTTGTAACTGCCTTTATATAAATTCTTTTTGCCCCATATTTTACATCTAAAATATATAAAGCAAGAACAGGTATATAAATGCCTAGACAAAGCCTGTGACTGCTGGATTATGGGGAATTTCTCATTTATGTTATATACTTTTTGAATTCAAAAATAGTAACTTGAGGACCATTTGAAACTATTGAAATTTTTAACATCAAGAATATATACTATAGCATTTCAAATAATTAGGAAAATATCTTTAACAGCTGGAAATCCTATGACCATCAATAAACTTAAGAATTTAAAGTCACCTGTTTCATCCACCCCCAGTATCTTTGTCTAGAGTACTGTATACTGCAAAGAGGATATAAAGTATAACATAAAAACACCTATTGAATTATCTTGGTAAAATTAAAAAGTCTCTGTTAATCTTTACACTGGAAACTTTTGACATGACCCATAGTAATTGTTATGATAAAAAAACTTAATGTTAAATATTATCCAAATAATGTTAACCTAGAACACATGGCACATGTGATTAGCAAAGTGAAGTACTAATTGGTTAGGTGTGCTGATGCACGTGAAGATCTATGCACAGTGTTTGAAAACATTGATCAATGTTATTTCTCCCTGTAAATGATGGGTAATATGCAGTTGATATGATTAGTGTTAATATTAACCATGAATCACAGTTTATATAGAGTGCACATATACAAATACCTGACTCTCTTCTTTGAAGCTGTTGGAAATGTTCTAGGCCACGCATACATTTTCTGTGACTCATGTATCCCTGAAGAATGTGATACATTATTTCACTGTATGCTCCCCAAAATACAAAGCCTCATGGAGTAACTAGTAAACTATTGTTCCAGTTTATACCATAAGGAAAGGGACTCAAGGCTTGATTTGACTTTGTGTGTGTGTGTGTGTGTATTATCAGAGTGGAAGTTT